CATGTACTTCGTTGGGTGGTCAGCTTTAGTGGCTGAAATGCCACTGGGCGTTTTGGACCTGGATCGGACTATGAGCTTCGATGTCTCATCTTACAAACGACTCCTCAGTCTGGGTGAGAAAGAAAAGGGGTCTCGGGGTCTCTTCCGCCATTCTGCAGTGCAGCTGTTTGCTAGTCGCCCAGAAAGGAACTACTAGACTGCAATCTTTTTGGATCCTTTGCAGGTTGGAACATCCAACGTCGAACCCGGATTACTGTAAATGAAATGGACCCCCAAGACTACATCTCTTCCAGGTGTTTATCTTTGGGCGGGCCAAACTAAGGTGAGTCTATTAATCCGGGCTTGACATAAAAAGAATACAGACGGGTAAGTTTTGTAGTTGTTCGCAGGTGATGATGATGAGCGACCAGTGGAGACGTTGGATGCTGCGCTGGCTGAATCCTTTGGAGATGGGGTGGTGCCCTCAAGCCTCAACTTTTTTTTTGTGGGTTTGTGGGCCAGCGCTCTAGCCTAAACAAGCCAGCGTGTAAGTTTGTTTCAGGTCAACGCTGTGTACGTGAAGAAAGCCATCAAAGCTGGAAACTCTTCGAGGGTTGGGCGGGCTGACGTTGAGCTGTTGCGTGACGAACGCTGCTTCCATGAGAAAAGCAGGTGCAATGCTAGTCGTGACATGCACAGCAGATTTGCCCGGCTTGGCCTGTCGATGCCAGTCAACATAGAGAGAGTAGAGCACCCACTGCAGAATGGTAAGACCACCACCCACTGGATCAAACCCAGTGAATGGGTGAAGGTCCTGATGAACAAGGCGCCATATGCTTTGGTTGGACAGTGTCAGGACCGCTCGTTGCAGCTCCGGTCTTTCTGGGCGGCATATGAGCAAAACAACCCTCAACATGTGGTATTCCAACACCATGCAAACGACCTCCACCAAGTTCTTCCATTGGCCCTGTTTGGCGATGAGGGTCGTGGGCCCAAACGTGACAAGTTCCTTGTGTGGTCAGTGGAGTGTTTGCTTGGCTTGCAAGACATGAAAGATTTTGCTTGCTGCTGTGCTTCGGAGGTTTCAAAAAATGGAGGCAGCTGGTATTGACACATGTCGTGCTGATGGGGTCATGACCCCTTTGCCTCCAGACCTCTTGCACCGTGTTGCCTTGCAAAGCACAAACTATAAAGGCCACTCGTATGTAACTCGCCATATGCTGTTTGGGTGGCCTGCTTGCCTGTACAGAGACCCCGAGGTCTTGGACAAGCATTTGAAACTTTTGTCAAATGACATGATCTCCTTGTTCTGGGATGGGGTTACATTGAAATCAGGCGAACAGATCTTTGGAGCGCTTTGCGCCGTGAAAGGTGATATGAAGCACATGGTCCAAATAGGCATTACACGGTCATACCACAAACTTAGAGGGGGGGATGATGTGCTCACTTTGTGAAGCTGGGGCTGCCAACTTTGGACTACCAGCCTTTGAAGACACGCGGGACGAGCCAGATTGGGCAGCTACGATGGGAGTTTCAAGACCTTGGGAAACTCCTCCAGAACTATCGAGGGTGCCCTACAATCCAGTTGCGCCAGAACTGGCCTTCGCATTGGATGTGTTCCATGTCTTTAAGGTTGGAATAGCTCGAGACCTCATCGGCAGCATGATTGTAACGATGGCAAAGCTACAATTTTTTTGCCACTGGCTTGAGCTAAGGCAACGCTTACCTTTTTTTCTTGTAAGCTACTAGCAAAGTAGGGCAACCTCAACATGTTTCTTTGTCGTCCTCACAAGCCAGGATGAAGCGTCCGACCGCCGGAGCAAGAACTTGGAGCTTCGACTGGAGGCTGCACACGGCCTTTTCAGTTTGTGGTGCGCATCAGAGCGTGTTACGCCTGGGCTTCGTTCATTTGGGAAGCGTTTTTTTCAACGTCAAGACCAAGGCAAGTTTTGCATGGGCAAACACGAAGGGAAGTGATTCCATGCTAGTCTTGCGCTTCCTGAGGTGGCTTGTAGGGCTTCGAATTTCATCAAACGATGGCTTGGCCCAGTCAAACCACCGCTTGCTGAAAACATTTACAGCGACAGTGGATTCTGCCCTGGATGCTTTTGGCATCATGCATTCGCATGGTCTTTGGCTATCACGCCCTTGTGGGCAAATTCTCTATGTAAAGCTGATGTGCTTGCTCAGGGGGGTACAAGAAGCTAGCCCGAATTGTGTATGACATGAAGCTGACTGGTTTCGGGTTGAAACCCAAGGTCCATGCACTCCATCATGTCGCTTACACTCTTCGCAGGTCTCTCCAACGTGGGGCTGTCCAAATTCTTTCTCCAATTTCTACTGCTTGCAAGCAGAATGAGGATACAGTGGGTTTGGTTGCGCGCTTGTCAAGACAGTTGAGCGCAAGAGGCTTGTCGTGCAGAATCCTTCAGAGATACTTTTACAAAAAAAAAGGGCACTTCTAAACAGAAGCCGGCCTAAGCGATGATGTGGACGAACTAAAATTTGTTGAGATGTGGGCACTTCCAAAGAGAAACTAGCCCGAGACTTCAGGTAAAGCTGTGGGGACAAACAGTGCAAGCCTCT